TGCTCCCTGCCTCCTCTCCAAAGTTACTAAATATGTCACCATACAGCCAGACAGCATACTAATCTCAATGGAGGAAGGGATGTTTACGAGAAACAAAAAGGCTGCATTTAAAGATCAAATAAGAAACAGAAAGTGGGAATGCACAGTCCATTTCTCCAGCACTCAGAGAGAAGCAAAATCACCCAAAGTTCAAGTCATCCACTGCTATAGTTAGCCCAGGCTAAGTTAGGAAGTCTATCTCAAAAACGGGCATAGTGGTACAAGCCTTTAACACAGTTCTTGGAAGGCAGAGGAGGGTGGGTATCTGTGAGACTGAATCAACCTGGTTTATAAAACAAGGTCTAAGCCAGATGGGGCTACAGGAAGACCCTGTGAAAAGGGAGGGAGAAGGGAGGAGCAGAGAAACAGAGAGAAAGAGAGAAAGAGAAACCAACCAACCAACCAACCAAGCAAAGAAAAGGGAAGTCACCCCCAGCTTCTCTCCACTGAAATGAAACACAAATTTTTAAACTCCTTACATGTTCATGATTAAAATTATGTGTCAAATGACTAAAATCTGAATTCTGTTCAACAGAAGAACAACTGCCCCATCGCCACCTCTAAAGGTGATCTGGAAGTTCTGAAGTACCAAAAAGGGAAAGGAAAAAATTCTAAACAACTTTTATATCTACTTATTTCAAGGCACGGATGAGTGAAGAGGGGGAACATGCCACAGTGCCCATGCATGTGTGGATGTGGATGGGTGTGCATGTGCCATAGCATGCATGTGAAAGTCAGAGGACAACTTTCGACAGCAACCATCTGCAGTCCATACTATCTGACCTTCACAATAGAGTCTCCTCTCTTCACAGGAGAGTCCAATAAAACAGTTCAGCCTAGCAGCAGGTGCAGCCAGGCTCGAGCATTTATATATACTGGCAAAGTCTACAGAAAACCAGGTCACAGGAACATTTCAACAACAGCAAGCTAAAGCATAGCACTAAAGACAGTTTAAAATTAATATACATTTCCATTATGTAAAGGCCACACAAACATCTCCTGGTCAGAGAACAGATTATACAGACAATCTCTCCTTCAAAGTTCTAAGTACGGATCTAGGGGTCTGAACCTGTAATGCAACCTTTGGTACCTTACTGAACACACCTATGACCCTGGGCAAATCATTCATCATCATTTCTAAAGATATAACCTCATACCTATACGAGCAAGAACAAATGAGTATTCTAACCTCTAAGCCAGAGACCACTTCTCCTTCTCTGTCCTAAGCTACCATCAGTCCTTCAGCACACTGCTAAGACTTGCATGCACTCTACCAAGACCAAATGCATTCTTCACATTCATCCTTTTAAAGATGACTCTGCAAACAGAAAAAGAAAGCTACAAGCAAATATCTACTCCATCTTCCTTCTGTACTATGATGGTTAATGTTCACTGTCAGCTTCACATAATATAAATCTCGTAGGAGACAAATCTAGGCTGCTTTTCTGTGACAGGAAGACCCACCCTAAATGTGGTCAACGCCACTCATGGACTAGGCTCATGGACTATACCAAAAGGAGAAAACAAGGTGAACAACTTATCTCTCTCTGCAACCAGACTGCAATTCAGGATGACCAGCCTTTTCATGCTGCCACTGTGACAGACTGTGAATCTCTATGAACTACAACTGTGAACTATGAGCCAAACAAATCCTTCAAAAATCAATGCGGAAGCTCCTCAACAAGCCAGAAATACACAATCACACTGAGAATGGCTTTGACAACACGGACACACTCTGACAACTGTCCTTTACCTAACCTTGTAACATAATGTAAATAAGTTCACTGAGCCACGTGGGTTCCTCTTGTGACCTGGCATATGACCTTCACCCCTGATGACCCTTCCTTGCCCTGGACCTAGAATAATGGGGGTGTGAGTTTGAATATCAAAAACACTGAAGAACCCACAAAGATACAAAGACTATCTGTGTTGTAAACAACAGGTTAATTAAGAAAACCTGTTTATGGTTATATATATTGATGTGTAGGAACCAGAAAGGGCAAACCAAGGGTCTGACTTTTACTTCCTCATTTCATGCTGAATACATGGTTCAATGAAACACAGGGCTGGCCCTTGCTCTGGAGCACAATTCTAAGAGAATCCCAAAAGAGCAGGTTCTCAGCAGCTCTGGTCCACTCTTGGCCTTAAAATGAATGCTGAGTTAGGCTGTTGTTTATTAAGGCATAGCCATGATGTGGCTAGTAAATGCTGCACCACAAGATCCAGCTATACCACTCTTGGGCCTATACCCAAAAGATTCAATTTCCCATTACAGAAGATACCACCTCATCCATAGCCACTGCTGCTCTATTCATAAGAGCCAGGAAATAAAAGCCTAGATGTGCATCATCTGATGAATGCATCATGAAAATGTGGTACATTTATGCAATGGAATATTATTCAGCTGCTAAAAAAATATAAATTATAAAGTTCACAGGTAAATGGACAGAGCTGGAAACAATCACTCAGAGTGAAGTAACCCAGGCCCAAAGACACATGTTTTCTCAAATCTGTGCCTCTTAGCTTTGAAATGTGCATTTCATATGGAATACCGACAGTGGTCAAGAAATTAGTAAGGGGCCATGGGGAGGGAGAAAGAGCTAGAGGAAAGGAAAACAGAATGAAATAATATAAAGGATTAGAGAGGAGTAATGGAACAGGAAGAGTTAAGTGGAGTAGGGAGGGAAAGCAAGGTAGACAAAGGAAGAAACAGCAGGAGGAACACCAAGGCCATATGAAAGCCCACTACTGTGGAAACGTTCTAAAATTTACACACGTATCTAAAATAAAAACCCCCAAATTACAGGCTATTGCCAAGGCTCTTAGTTACCCTCTAGAACTTGATCGGAAAGCCCTATTGTTGATGGCATCACATACTTGTGTCATAAAACATTTAGCAATCAAGCTGGTACTGACCTGGATGCTTCATCCCTCCTGGCTACCTTTCAGAGTGCCAGAAGATGCTGTGCATGCTACCAGAGAAAAGTAATCATTAATTCTATCCAGCTGTGCACACTATGCATGGCCTAGCAAGACATGCTCCCTGGTGCCACAACAGCACCAGTGTCATGGGAGTAGCCAAGCACTTTCTGACTGGACTTAAGACCCACTCCACAAGATGAAACTCATACCTGGCACTGTTTAAGAACCTGTGGCTAGACAGACCAAGGGGGACTCTAAGGGAGAACCTACTACTATTATTCTGCTAAATGAACACAATTATTAAACCAACACCTAATGACTTACTGTTATACCCATAGATTAAAGCATATCTCAGCTCTCATCAGAGAAGCTTCCTTTGGCAAAAGATGATAATTAACAGAAGGAATCACAACTGATCATGGTGCAGAGAATTAGAGACAGGGAGTACTCAGCCCTAATGGGACAACTATATCACACCCTCTAGTCCAAGGCTCAGGGATTACCAGGGAAGATGGGGTGGAAAGACTGCAAGAGCCAGACATGGTGGATGACTACAAGGAAACTGTTTTCCAGATGCAATAGGGCAGGCACAGCTATGAACTCACAGTGGTTGTGACAGAATGGGCAACACCTGTGCAAGCTCAAGCCAGCTAAAACCCCACCATGGTGAGGGGAGGTGGGCAAGATGACCCAGCCCTAGCTGAGGAGCTACCGGCTACCAATAGATATTAGGAGAGAGAGGAATAATCTTCTCTAAAAGTCTGGCCCCTAGTAACCCCCATGCTCCTGTGGATGCCACATGCCCAAGCACATGGACAGGACAGATGGGACTCGGTGTTTTGTTTTCTTTAAGGACAACTCAAAGTTAGGCTGGAAAAGGAAGTATGGGCCTAGAAGGAGTTGAGGGAAGGGATTGAACATGATCAAAATACAATGCATGAAATTCTCAAAGACCTAATAAAAATGGAAGAAAAGGGACTTACTGACACAAGATGAATAAGTAACGGGCACACCCACCACATCATCACTTCTCACTGCAGGCAGAAAAACCCCAAATCGTTAGTTTGGCAAAGTGTGACTTCAGCACTTGGGAGAGCTGCAGGAGGATCAAGATAAGGTCATCCTCGGCTACATGGCAAGTTTACATCTACCTGGACTACATAAGGCCCATCTCAAAAATAAATAAAAGCAGGCTACAGAGATGGCTGAATGGTTAGGAGCTCATGCTGCTCAATCACGGGAACCAGAATTCAAATCCCAGCACCCATGTCAGTGGCTCACAAATGCCTGTAACTTCTCTCCTAGGGATCTATCACCCTCTTCTGACCCCCATGGGGACATGCACACACATGAATATACACTCACACAAACACAGCAAACACATACCTAATTTAGGTAAAAAATAAATCTCTAAATGAATAATGTAGCCCTTTGAGGCTTGACCACGCTGGCCCACCATACTCATGACCCTCCTCATGCTTAGTGAGCAGGAGCTTCACTGATCAACTTCCTACTCCTCCCACACATGAATCTCAGGCCAACCTCCAGCCTCCGGGCTTACCAGTATTTGATTTCCACACCCTGAAAAGGCTGGCTCCTTTCTTTTTCTTTTCTTTTGGTGTATGTGGTGTGTACTTGTGTGTATTCACATGCAGGCATGCCACATTGCACAGGTGGCGATCGGAGGGCAAACTTGGGGATTCTTCCTCACCTGTTACTATCTTGAGACAGGGTCTCTTGCTGCACCTGCACTGGGCTAGCTGACCCAGGAGCTACTGGGGACCCTTTTACCTCCACTCACCACTGCAACCAACTCCACCAAGTTGTCTCCTGGCCTCCACACCTGTATCATGGCATGTGCACGCCCTCACACATCACACACATACACAAACACACACACACACACACACACATTCACTGAGAAAAATCAGTGTTCCACGTGTTATCAGCAAGAACAACAGTTACACTCAATTGAAAGACGAAGAGCACAATTTAGAAGTCAGTATCACTCCATGGTGACAAGGTCTAAGCATAATCACCTTGGCAAGGCCTGCTCGGTGAGCTCCTTTAGATTCCATGTACGCAAGGTATTTGTTGAACTCCCGGAACTCCTCCATGGAGGGTTTGAAGGTCATTATCTTACAGCTGGGATTCAGGGGACTCTCCACCTCCACCTCCACCTCCATGATGGCTACAGCCGGCTCTGCAGAGAAGATGCGGTCATCAACATGGCGTTGTACACAGTCTGTGCTCCCACAGAGCATGCAAGTGCCCTCTGCAGGAACCTGCTCTTCCTTACTCACCGCTCCTTCCTCTTCTCTGAAGGAGACTCCCATTCCTCCCTGGACTCTGGACAGAGATTTCGGGTGGCTTCCTGACACATTCCTATTCCTGGCACCGTGTCACTGACCTGAATGAACGTACTGCTGACCTCCATGAAACTCTTCCAAGTAAAAGTGAATTTTCTAAACTTCCAAGTTTACTAAAGATGCTCCTTCTATTACAGTCTCTCATTCATGTACACATAGACATGAAGGCCTGTGTACAAGTGAAAAGAGACGTTCAGCATACCTGGCAGTGCTGACCTCAGTGTGCTTCCAGCTTGCTATAACCCACTTTCCTATAATAGCTTACAGAAAAACCACCAGAAAAAAGGATAACGAATTGAGGACCAAAAATGGGAGGAGGGGCATGCGGGGAGACCGCTCAGCAGCTACAGTGCTTACTATGCAAGCATGAAGGCCTGGGTTCAAATTGCCAGCACCCATACAAAAGGCCAGGTATGATGATGCTTTGCAAACCCAGCAATGTGGAAGGCAGACGGATCACTGGTACTTGCAGGCCGCCAGCCTAGTTCCAGGTTTAATGAGATCCTGTCTCAAGGGAATAAGGGGGAAGGTAATAGAGCAAGACATCCAATGTCCCCTTCTGTCTGCTTTCTGCACATATGTGCATAAGCACATGAACTCTTATATACACCATGCACACATATACACACCACACATACATTATACACACAGAAAGAGAAAGGGGGAAGAGAGAGAGATGGACAGAGAATAAACAAACAAACAAAATGGAGTAGGGTTTCCTCTTCACCTTGTCCAGAGACTAAAAAAAATTTAATACAAAAGTAAACACAGGTAGGAACAATCAGCTGTATCTGGTCTAATCAGAAATCACTTCTCTAAAAGGGGCAGAGTCAAGACTTATTAAAGGACAGCTAGCCAGATGATAGAAAGAGCACTCTGAGCAGTGGAGTTATTTGCATGCACTGTAGAGAGGGAAGGGTCCAACATGCCTGGGCTTCTCTGCGAAGACTACAGGAGACCTTAGGAGAGCAGACAGCAGGCCTTGCTACAAAAACAGGAGCTTAGTTTTGAGGTCAATAAATGGGATAATTTCTTCAGCAAATGCTTTTTAAACACTTAGCATGTGCCAGGCACAGGAAATACAAAGGTGACTAGGAAAGCAATTAGAGCCTGACTCATGAAGGAGCCCCATCCCATCTAACTTCCAGATATGTGACAGCTCAAATCACAAATTTTCCCCAAATAACATTTTATTTTTAACTAAATTGCCTGACCAAAAACAACTGGGAAAGTAAATAAGGGGGTTGAAAAAAAAAATGGGAAAACACAATAACAGTAATACACAAATGAAACAAACAATGGTGTGGTCATTTTTACAGGAGTATGTGTATGTATATGTATGTATATGTATATATATATACATATACATACATATATACATTCTATGTGCATGTAGGGAGCTATTTACACTTAATCTGAGTGTAAGGAGCTATAAGGAACATAAGAATGAAACTGTGCCACCCTTTGGGAACTTACAATCCAAAATAAAAAGCCACTTATGGAGAAATATTAATACACTGCAGAAAATATCCTAGTCCTCCTTGGGGGCCACCTTCCTTCTGACCTCCCTTCACACAAACATCCATGCATATATCCAAATCCATGGCCCTCCAGAATATTTCTCATGCTACAGGCTGGCAAGATGGCTCAGCAGGTGCTTGCCACGAAGTCTGATGACCTGAGTTCAGTTTCTCAGACCCACATGGTGAAAGGTGAGAACCAACTCCAGCAAATTGTCCTCTGACCTCCATGTGTGTATACCAGTGCCCATGCGCATGCACACACACACACACACACACACACACACACACACACACACACACAAAATAAATAGAAAATAAATAAATGTAAAAGTCCCACACTCTATACAGCAAATACATCATTCTTTAGAAGCATCCCAAATCTGGCCCTTGTAAAACTATGCCTCATCCCAGGCATCTATGGGGTACTAGACCCCTCCCCTCAGGATATCATAATCCAAGATAATCAAGTCATTTATATAAAATGTCTTCCTGCTTGCATATAGGAAGCTACATGTATTCTCCGTATATATTCTCCTGCTACATATATTCTCCTGTATTCTTTAAATTGTTTCTAGATTCTAGATTACTTATATTATCTAGCACAATATAGATAGTAAGGTAATAGTTGCTGTGCTATATTGCTTAGGGAATAAACTATGCTGGTATAATTCTTTTGTAGCCCTACCTCTCGCATAGCCCTGACCGGCCTTGAACTTGCTATGTAGTCAAGAATAAGCCTGAACTTCTGATCCTCATACCCCTAACTCTAAGACTATAGGCATGTAAACGCAGAGCTTAAGGTATATGTGGTGCTGGGGATCAAACTCAAGACCTCTAGGCAAGCATTCTACTGACTAACTACATTCCCAATCAGATTCAACTTTTTTCTTCAAGCCCTTGGTTGTTGCATTCACTGACACAGAAAACTCAGAACAGATAGTCAACTATACTTCACCCTCTAATAGGACATACTAACCAGAGCTTCTCTAAGAAGCTCTTTGGACCTTTGCTTGTAACTCCATTCCCTTGAAGCAGCCTTCGAGTTCCCAACCATCTGTCCAGTATGGGACACATGAGCCACATTGTGCTCCCACATGTCCTTATCCAACACCCTCCTTACAAACAGCAGCTGCCTCTCTCAATGGCTGGCACTTCCCGCTACCCACTGAGCTATCAGCCCTGGAAGAAATTATGTAATAAAAAATTGCAAAAATGTTGAAAAATAAAAAAATAAAATAAAATAAAATAATAAAATAGCACCATATTCAGAAAAAGGAAAGTACTGATACGAAATAAATAAGTTACTTAGGAAACAGATTAGTCAGGCATTGTAGAGGACAGCCCAGCTCTTGAGAGACAGAGGTTATCACAAATTCAAGACCAGCCTGGTCTACATAACAAACTCTAGACCAGTCAGCTACAGAGTCCCTGTCTCAGAAACAAAAATAAAATACATAAAAAAGATTAATATGCCTGGGTAGTAAAGAATATTAGAAAACTCTAAGCAGTAAGAAAAGGAAAGAAGCGGACAGACTAGCTGTGCAGAAACACCTGATACATGAGAGGCAGTGTTCCATCCTTTTCCTCTGACCAAAGCCCAAGAGTGGCCTCAGTATTTGTCTAAGCAAAAGCAGCAACCACTGGAGGAGAAATTGGAGGCGTAGCCAATAATTCAAGGAATAATGACAACTAACCCTTAGCTTTAGCTAGACAGGCACTCAGGAGAAAAGAAAACAGTCCTGGCACCACTTGAAAGAAACAGACAAGACAGCCATGTTTCTGAGCAGCCAAGGAAGGCATTTCCAAGGAGGTGAGATCCAGGAGATGCCTGAAGGAGGAATCAGTCAGACAGTACTGGAAGAGGAATGTTTCAGGCAGAGAAGGAACCGCTCACGTCTGTTTTGCTCTTCAAGGAGGTGATGCAGCTGGAATTTAGAAAGGAAGAGGAAAGGGCATGGGGAGAGGGGTGGGCAGTTGACCCTATGATGGGAAGCAATTTGGACTTCTTCCCTTTAACTTCTCCAGTTCCTAGAACTCAAACATACATTTCCATCCCAGTCACTGAGATGCCTGCCATTCAAGGTCAATGCTTCAGATCCCCTAAGCAGGGAAGCAAGCTGGGGCACATTTGCCATTTCTTGATGTTGTATCAAAAGAAAGAAAAGTAGGAAAGAAAAAAGAGAAGAGGAGAAGAGACGAGAAGAGGCAATTTACACAAACCCAGGCCAGCCAAGTGGATAAGTGAAGGCTTGCATAAAATGGTGGGCAGGGAGAAGGGATCAGGTTGCAGATTTAGGAAATTCTGCAGAAAATTTCCTGACAGAAATGAAAAAGGAGCAAGAGTCAAGGTTTCTGAGACAGGACTGGAGATATAGCTCGTTTGCAGGGTGCTCACCTAGCATGCAATGAAACCCAGGACTTCTCACGGGGGGGGGAGGTTCTTTTGGCACTGGACATCACCAGTAATTCCAACATTCTGGAAGCTGAGGCAGGAGTATCATCAATTCAATGCCAGCCTGAGCAAAACCACACCGGAGGGGAAGGGAGGGGAAGGGAGTGGTACACTTCCAGAGGACCTACATGGTGGCTAACAACCATCTTCAACTCCAGTTCCAGGGGATCTGGACATTCTCTTCTGGCCTCCGTTGGACACTGCACGACCTGGGTACACTTACACACATGCAGGCAATATACCCATACAGATAAAATAAAGATAAATAAGCCAGCCATGGTAGCACAAGCCTTTAATCCAGCACTTGGGAGGCAGAGGCAGGTAAATCTCTGTGAGTTCAAGGCCAGTCTGGTCTACATAGTTCCAGGTCAGCTGGGGCTACATGGAGACCCTGTCTCAAAAAAAGCCAAAAAATAAATAAAAATAAAAATAGAGATAAATAAATCAAGATCAGCCTGAGCTATATAGAGAGAGTTCTAGGTGGAAAGGAGTGAAAGACACTGTTTCAAAAAAAAGCGCCAATAAACGTGAATCCCAGGTAACCTTGGAGACTGATCACTGTGAGCTAAAGGCCACACAGTCAATGGGCTGCACCTTGAGTTCCACAGTAGCCTGGGTCACACAGTAAGACCCTATCTCAAAAGCAAAAGCAAACAACTAGATTACTCATTCAGTAATACTTTCTAGTGGTAGAAACACTGTTCAAGGTCATTCTTATCTACATAGCAAGTTCATAACATGGGTTACATGATAGTACATCAAAAAAAATTTTAGATAAGATACAAAACAAATTTAATAGACAAAATGAAAATACATGCTACCTAGGAAGATGCAGAGAATAAAACAGATCAGGAAAGCT